TTTCAAGAATGTATAATGTACATTATAAAAATACTTTTATTTTAAATAATTATTCTTACATTACGTGTATGGAATATTTATTTTACAACCTTTATTTTCTTTCATTCTGAATTGTGTAAATAAGTTTTTTAAATTTTTGTTGTTAATACTAAAATTATTATTATGAATAAATTATTCTAATTAATTTTTTTACTATGCTCATTATTTTGTTATTCCAGCATTATAGATGCTTAAATATTTTTATTTTTATTTTATAAATAATATTTATTTATTCTATAGGTAAGTCCATAATATAAATTAAAAAGAAAAAAATCATAATATTGAAAAGTTTAAAAAAATAAACAGAAGATAAATATTGATAATTTAGAGGGTAAAATGGGTATTTGGCAATCCAAAATCTGAAAAATCTAGTTGAGTGACCTTCTGAGCACAATAGGCATAGTTCAGTGACTTTGTTGTTACAAACGAAAGAAAAGTGACATTAGGAGATAATTTTGGGATAGTTGAGTGACCATTTGAGTAATTGACTCCATAGGTGGTCTAAAGCCACTTTATGGGCTTTTTAAGTTCTTGTCCAATCTATGTATTTGCTTAAGAATGCACACTATTAAATACTTGGACTCGGAGCTTGGGCCGGGCCGATTATTAAATTAATTTTTTATTTTTTATTTCTATACATATACATATATATATATATATATATATATATATATATATATATATATATGTATATGTATATGTGTGTGTGTGTATTAATATTAAATACTTGGACTTGGAGCTTGAGTCGGGCCGGTTATTAAATTAATTTATTATTTTTTATTTCTATAACAGAAAATCAGTTTTATTTGAATTTAAAATATTCAAATAAACAGACACATCTGTTAATGAAGTAAAGTGACTTTTCGAAAAAGGCCTGGCTTTTGCTCTATAAATAAACATGTGATTCCCTACAAAGTGATTCAGAAAATCTACAAGTATCAATTAGTGGCTTGTTGTATCCTGAAGAAAATTGTTTGTATTTTTCCCAAAATATGTATAAGGGCAATAACTTCTTTAAGAAAAGTCATTCAAGCATTCTCAATCTCGTTTTCAATCACTATTTTCTAACATCACACTCTTTAGATTTATTTATTCTTTTTTCCTTAAAAATATTCAACAAGAAAATAAAAAAATAAAAAAATAATTTTCACATTATTAATCACTACATTACATTCTTTGCATTACTAATTTATACCCTACTAATTCTTGCGTAATCTATCGTGTATACCTTGTATTCGAACAAAAAACGACCCCTTATAACATTATTCAAATACTTGAGTATTTGAAAGTGTCATTCGCTATTTATAAGGAAAGAAGAACATTTAAAAAACGTGCACTGAACAAAAGGAAACTATTCATTGTTTTCTCCACCACATAATATCACACCTCTAATTTAGACTAGGAAAACTACAGCACAAGGTGTCAAAGATCACCACTATACGTCTGGGGACGCTTAAATATCCACCAAAATTCAATGTATTACGCCTTTTCCTCAGTGCCTATATCATCTTAAAATCTCTTCTTCATACAAATCACGCACACACACTCTATAACACGGAGAATGGCTGCTACTGGTGCTGCGTCGACGGATGTGGAGAACAGAGAGTGGTACGTTGCTAGTTATGCACCGACAGGTGTTCCCAATTCTGAGCATATTAAGCTACGTACTGTGAGTTTATCGCTAAGAGCTGATTCCATTCCAGATGGACATGTGACATTCCAAGTCCTCTATGTCTCCATTGATCCATATGTACGCACTCAATTGAGTGGTCTAGATGATGGCCTCTCTCTTCCTCAAATTCCACTTGGCCAGGTTTACTATCTTGACTTCTCTCAGTCTGATTTTATGTGATGGTGTTAGACTGATCGCGAACTAAAATAAAAAAAAAAAATTTTGTTATATACTGCAATTAGTCCGATCGAAGGTAAGTGTGGTTTTAACCAAAACAAATTTGTCAAAAAAAATATGACGCTTTACTAAAGATTAAAAGGCCGTAATTTTGTTTTAAAATCCATTTCTTGCTTCAATAAATGATTTAAATTTTTTGAGGAGAGACAAATGGTAATTTGAAGAGATATAAAGGAAGTATCAAAAGTACCATCAAAACTTATAATCTTAAATAGGTCATGACATTTCAATGGCAATAAATGCACGTCAATAAGGGTAAAATGTGAAAATTAACATTGACGGAGTATCAAAAATAACCTCAGAACTTATAGTCTTATATGTCATGATATTTCGATGGCTATAAATGCATATCATATAAAAAGAAGAGAGGGTGACCAACAAAGGTTATGGTGGAGTGGTAAGTACTCCATCATCATTAACCAAAGGTCTCGGATTCGAGCCCTGACTATAGAATTCGGATTTAGTCGGGCCCCAATGCAGGTACCGAACACCAGGTGAGAAATCAAAAAAAAGAAGTAATAAAAATGTATAACACTAGTATGCTGATATTAATTAATACAATGAAAAATTGCAGGTAATAAGAGCATTTGGAATTGGGAAGGTAATTCAATCTAAGGACGCCAAGTTTTCAGAGGGAGATATAGTACTTAGCCGTATTTGCCCTGTTTCAGAATTTGGTGTTATGCCCTCAAATTTGCTTCAGAAGATTACTCCTGCAATTGGGATTGCGTTGCCCGATTATCTTAGTTGCTTAGGTATATACCTAATAGTAATACCTCTCCTCCTCCGATTCTAATTGTCGTTTTTACAGTCTTAAACTTAAATCAAGATCACGTAATTATGTGTTTTTTTTTTTTTCTTGACCGTGCTATAGGAATGCCTGGTATAACTGCGTGGGTGGGCATAGAAAAGATAGGAAATGCTAAAGCGGGATTGAATGTGTACATATCGGCTGCAGCGGGAGGAGTTGGAATTATAGCTGGACAACTAGCCAAAGTAAAAGGGTGTCGAGTTGTTGGAAGTGTTGGTTCAGATGATAAGGTATTATTTGTTTTATATCCCAAATTATTTACTATATGCCCTTAAAACGTATATATAATATGGGACTTTTTCTCTTCCAATTACAAAATTTAGGTTAAGATTTTACAACTCGCTAGAACGATTTCAGAAGCTGCTTTGTACAAGTTGTCTTGATATAACTCGGTTCCTTAAAGTTGTAGTCTTTTCTAGAGGAGATAAATTAATTTGACTTGTAATTGATTTGGATACTCGTTTTTTTATTTATGTGTAGGTGAAGCTATTGAAAGAAGAATGTGGTTACGATGATGCTTTTAATTACCGTGTAGAGACAGATTATGATGCTGCATTAACCAAGTAAATTTCTTTGTTTCTTCAAAAATTTTAGGTTTTTGGTAGTACTAATTACTAGCTATAGTAAAATCTTTTTATTTTCCTTGGACTACTTTAATTTCTAGCGATTGACATGCTCAATATTATTGTATTACCTTTTACAGATATTTCCCAAATGGGATTGATGTTTATTTTGACAATGTTGGTGGTAAAATGCTTGAGGCTGTTCTTAATCATGTTAACCACGGAGCTCGTATTGCACTTTGTGGGATGATATCTGAGTATAACAAGGTATCCTTCATTGTTTTAATCCATGTATAATATGTGTATAATCATATATAATCTATATATACTAATTAGAAAAAGTAAACAATAAACCTGACCGGCTATTTGTGTAAAAATTTCTAATTTTTGTACAAACTTGGGCTTTTTTCTTCCTTTCGCTATTAAAAACGGATAGCTCGGTGCACAAAGTATCCCGCGTTCATGCAGCATCCAGGAAAGGGTTGCACCCTAAAGGTTGTGACATAGACAACCTACTCTAATGCAAGCATTAGTGATTGCTTTTACGGCTCGAATCCATGACCCATAGGTCACACGGAGACAACTCTACTGTTGCTCCAAGTCTCCCCATCTTCCTTTCAAGCTATTGAAAAATAAAAATAAAAACTCTAATCACCAAAATTTATTTTTTTTGGATTTTGCAGGTTTGGACAGAAAGAGAAGGGGTTAGGAACCTATTGAACATGGTGGGTAAAGAAGTTATGATGAAAGGGTTTATGGTAGGTTCATATTATAACCACTTTGAGGAATTCATAAAAGAGATGGAAGTTTACTTAAAAGAGGGAAAAATAAACTCCAAGCACAAAATATATAATGGTATTGGGAGTTTTTTGGAGAGTTTAGCATCTCTATTTTCTAGCTCTAATGTTGGAAAAGTAATTCTTCAAGTAACTCCTTAAACTACAATTCCCTCTTCACTCTCCCTATTATCCATGGAATAAATAAGCCAAAATAGACAATATGTGTCTATTTATGCTTGTTAGTTATGTTTGGTCTTCTGAGGAAAATGTTGCACTCCATCGGTGAGAGCAGGGGCGGATTTATAGCTTAGACTATGGGGTATGTGAACTCATGATCTCTCTGTCAAACTAGATATTTTTTGTATATATTTTTTTATAATTGGTCTAATATTATCTACGGGCCCCATGCTTCAAAAAGATTGAATAATGCATTTGGTTGAATACTGAGTTATTTACCCAAAGGAACGTGGATCGATTCCTACTTTATACTTTCTTTTCTCATTTCTTTAGTGGTGCACTCATATTCTAGAAATCCTAGATCCGCCTTTGTGTAAGAAGAGGTATAAGGATAGCTTTCGACTAAAAGACGCAGTCAACGAGCAAAAGTTTGCTTTAATAAAGTAGCTCGGGACAGGACATTGGGACGAAGGTATGAAGGTATGGCAAATGCAGCCCAGTCTGGTCTGACGGGGATTGAGACTGTGAAAGATGCAACAAAAGTAAAGGACTTTTACCAGTTTCTTGAGTGAGAGGTTAGATCCAAAACCCGAACTCTAATTTTTAAATTTACCTTTTGTCTAATAATATCAATTTTTTGATATGGCAATTATTTTTGTTATGTTCCCTCAAAGATTCATACTTAAAATCCAGATTCTACCACTCACTAGTTTCCAATGATATATAATATGAAGGCAAATAAACATGACATTGACTAAATCAGACTGTAACAACATCAGATAAGTTTCTGGACTAAAATTAAGACCTTTGGCTCCTTCCTAAAGTAGTCCAATCAGTTGGCAATGGTGGCAATATCTAGAGGATTAACACACATAACAATAAAGTTGGAGCAACAGTAAAGTTGTCTCCGTGTGGCCAATAAGTCACGAGTTCAAGCCGTGGAACCACTGATGCTTGTATCGGGTAGCTAGGCTGCCTATATTATACTACTCGGGCTGCGGCCCTTCCTCGGCCCCTGTGCGAATACAGAATGCTTTGTGCACCGGGCTGTCCTTTTTAAGACGCATAACAGGATAACAAACCAAAGGATAAACCATGGCAGCAGAAAATCCAGCTCCTTCTTCCATATTAAGTGTTTCTCCACCTTTAATTTTCCAATCAAAACATTGGATCATTGCACCAAGTGTCCTATGCAATACTGCTGCTGCAAGTCCAGCACCAGGGCATCCTCTCCTTCCTCCACCAAATGGCACATAACAGAAGTTCTGGCCTTCTTTAATGGCCTCCAGTTCATCAGGCTCGATCGCAAGGTTCTCGTTCAAGTTAAGATATCTCTCTGGTACAAACTCATCTGCATCAGTCCATGCATTTGAGTCCCTATTAACCGCGTAAAGGTTGACCACAACCCTAGAATCTTTAAGTATTTTGTAGCCATTGATCACACAATCTTCCCTGCATTTTCGGAACACTAAGGGCAATGAAGGATGTAACCTTAGAGTTTCCTTGACAACAGCTTGTAGATAAGGAAGATTTTGTATATCTGAATCCTCAACCAATCTGTTTTTTACCCCAACTATTCTGTCAATCTCTTGTTGCAGCTTCTTTATTGCCTTTGGATGGTTTAGCAGCTCCGCGAGCGCCCATTGCAAAGCAACACTTGTTGTATCAGTCCCTCCCAAGAACAGATCCTATTAAATAAGGCCAAAAAAGAAGGGGAAGTTACATATTTGGCCGCTCAATCAAAAATATTTACATCTCCTAGCCAATATACATTTGTTATACACTAAATATAAATAATATATACAGTTTTCGAAGAAACTGCCTTTCAAACTGGAGCTCGAGAGGTAAGCCATGGAAGTACCGCTAGGTAGGGAGCGAGCTCCTACTTCACTGAAAGTCTGATGAAAATTGGGGTACCCTTACTTAAGATTCAATTCATAAGGCTAACTTATGTTGTCGTGAGGCTTTGGGCGGAAGACTATTTAAGTTAATTTCTATAAATAAATAAATAAAAGAACCATCAACTGAACCTAGCATTGTTTAGATAGAGCATAGGTATATATATGTGAAAAGCCACTAAAATTTCAACAATTGTTAAAATTTCAAATGTAAAGATTGAACGCGTTAAGTTTAAATCGTGGATCCACTTTTATGAGGAGATGATTCTTACCAAGAAAAGACCCTTGATGCCATTTCTAGTGAGCTTCATCTCAGTGCTTTTATCATCTGCAATTTCCAGAAGAATATCCATCATATCTTTCCTGTCTTTACTTCCAGCGCGCCTTTCCTCTTCGTGTTTCTTAATTATCCCATCCATAAACTTATCAAACCTAAGCAACAACGCTTTAACCTTTCTTCCAGCTCCAAGAAGATCATATTTCTTCAATGGACCAAACACTTCACCTAAGCTCAACTGACCTGAAAGTAATGTTATTCCCTTAGCGATTTCTCTTATCTCCGCGCTCTCATTGACATTAGTTGATGTTCTTGTGCTCATGGTCAGTCTACAAATAAGATTATTTGTCATAGTCATGAGTTGATTTCCAACATCACAAGCCCCCCTTGTTCTGAACACTTGGCGAAAAATTCCAACAATTTCATCATTTCCTCCTTCCTTACATCAGCAAATTTTGTAATCTGCTGAGTGGATAGAATCTCTGTCATGCAAATTTTCTTCATAAAAATCCAATACTTGCTATAGTCCAAAGTGGAAAACAAGGTGTCTTTGTAAATTTGATACTCTGAAGAGCCAAATTCTGGCCTAGCAGCAAAATTGACATCATTGGTCTTAAAAATTTCTTTTGCTATGGCGCCGTTCGACACTATATATGAGGATGATGCACCAGCACGGATCAACATGAATGGTCCATAGCGCAATGCTAATTTTTGAAACGACTGGTGTAACACAGAACCAAGAAGATACATATGACCGATGATTGGTAATGCTATCGGGCTAGGAGGTTGATGTTGTATTTTCTTGTTTGATTGCTTGAGATTCTTGATAAAGGATTGAACTATTATTAGAGTAGATATTAAGCAGATGATGAAGAAAAGCAAGATATGAGGTTGATCTTCTATGGAAATATTCATTGCCATGGCTGCTAATTATGAGATGATTTACACTTTTAACTTCTGTGTGTTTTTTATAGACACAAGGCCTAAAGTATTTTGGAATATTGGAACGTCTTTGTAATCAAGTAGGGTGAAAGGAACGAAATGCAAAAAAAAAAAAAAAAAAAAAAAAAAAAGAGAGAGAGAGAGAGAGAGAGAGAGAGAGAGAAGAAAAGATGCCACAAAGAAACCATAGATTCCATCCATAGGCGACAAAAGGAGATTATCATTTAATTTAATTATTTCATCCTTCCTGATTTTCTATATTTCTTAATCAACCAATTAGAGGAAGAGGAGTAGTGTCGGCAAACGGGCCAGTAAAATCGGATATAGGTGGGTCAGAAACGGATAATGTAAATTGTAAAAATAGATAAAATATTCGATCCGAGCTATATTTAATATGGATAAAAAATGGGTTAATTAACCATATTATCCATAGCTTCTTAAATATGATTATTTTTGGGAGAATTCCTAGTCTCCCAAACTTGAGGACCCCAATTTGAGTCTTTGTGAATGTAAATGTTAAACCCGTTCGTTATCTATTTTTTAAGTGGATAATATGCATCTTATCCGATTCATATTTTACAATTTCAAAAAAGTTCATTATCTAATCAATTTTTTAGTGAATAATATTGATGGATAACTGTGTTTTTTAATCCTATTTGTCAACCACTAAAGAGGAGCTAGAAATGAAAGTGATCATTTATGCATGTTGTTTTTAAATATGAGTAGGAAAGGTTAGTACAGGTTCCATGGAGGAAGCAGCCAACTTGAAAATTTATCTAATGGAAATTCCATATTTCCATGAGAAAAGAGTCTTTTTTGCCAATAGAATATGTTAGATGACATTTCAAAAACGAGTTATCCCTCAAATTAAAGAATGTTGGATCTTTCCATACAGAAAGAACCAAATATATGAGTTATTGATAAGAAAAATATATGAGTTATTGATAATAAAATTAAGATCGATACAATATCATACTCAAATATAAGAAACTAGAACGACCTAGAAAAAGATAAAGGTACATGCCTTAGAGTTGACGTTGCATTCCCACAAAAGTTAAGAGGAGGTAAGACAGCCATCTTACTTCTAAATTACTACCTTAATCTCCGAGATTTTTTCGATGACCTATGTTGACCAGATAAAGTAGCAGATCAAAATCCGAAAGCAAGGGTGGAAGGATCATCTAACCCTAGCATGATCCTCTACCGGAACAAGCTGATAGAGAAGGTTGGACCAATCGAGGGAGGAAGTGAGGCTTTCAACCGAATCGGGCATCCTCCCTGGTCCTTTTTACATAACACTGTCAGCCGCCCAAGAAGACTGGCTATCTTTTCCTTTATACGCAATATTTTCAAAGGCAAAGAAAGCAATCGGCTATATGAATTCTCACGGCCATTCATCCCGTCTTATGTAGAAAAAGACTTGTACACATTCAGCGGATACATCAAACTACCTGACATGTCTAATTCTAACCTTAAACTTATTACTCCTATAACTTAACCACAGTTGATTAAGAAGTACTTGGCACACGATTCAAAGAAAGAAAGCTAAACTTAAATTTTCCTTTTTTTTTTTTCTCCGGTACATATTACATTTTCTTGAATGCTTATACTTTTTTGTAAACTCCATATGAATTAGGGAACTTATACAAATATCACAAGTAAGTTTTAATTTGCCAACCTCTAGCCATTAGTCATAGACTTATCAAAACTAGCCAAGCACATATAAAAATTGAAAAACCAAATAAATAAGGTTCTTTCTCTCAGAGAATCACGCAAAAATCTCCTTCTATATTTTTAAGCGTGATTAGCAGCATTAGATGCAAGACGGAAAGGAAATTTCATGGATGAGGTAGCAAATAAGATGATGAAATACAAAAAGATATACAATATTCCAAAATTCTAAGCAAACAAAAAGGAACTTTTTCTATGGGTATAGTTGAAATTCTTTGAAAACATATAGATAAGTCAATATACAAAATTTGAGGAAGATTGGAGGTGATTTGGACTGGTTTTATATCAAAATTCGTAACTAAATCGAGTTCAAAAAATTCTTCTGCAGCGCATGTATCACGCATGTATCTCACACACAGGTATACATAGATATATATGTGATACACAATGGATACAAATATGATACATGTGTGATACACAAATGATACACATATCATTTTTTTTCATGTTCAGTTTTTACTTCTGTCACAACCCATTTTCTGATCAAGCCGAGACCGGCACTCGATCACTAAACATGACCGAGCGAACCATCTCTGCTTATCAAACCTATTATAACTCCAAACTTTATATGCAACAAAGCAATACTCTAACCAAATACTTTTGATTAATTCAAATATTTAAATAAATCAACTCCAAAACTTTACTCGTAGTAACTACTGAATTATTGCTAAGTTATTATAAAATAACATCTGAATCTCAACCCAATGACTATGTCTATGAAGCCTCTACTGATAAACTGACGCACTGCTCAGGGCATGAGATTTCCTGGTCAGTTTTCTAAGTAACAAAGAAATAACTAAAGAAAGATGACTCTAAGGAATACTCCACGAACAAAAGCGGAGCTCACCAATAGCACGGGAAGCGAAGGAAGTCCTAACTCGTAGCCTGCTCGCCTGCAAATCCGGTTCCTACGTTGTACCGCAGACCAACGTAGGTTTCCAAAAGGGAACGTCAGTACCATCCATTGTACTCAGTGAGTCTCAACAACAGGGGCGAAACTTTAATAACATATACATTATGAGCAAAGGTTCTAAATGCATGTAAAGCATAAAGCTTATAAGAATAATTCTAAATAATCGCATAATAGTAGTTTATGAATATTCTAAAAGAAAATTTTTTTTTCTTTCCTATATAAAAAAAAAATAATTCACTTTATACTTTGGGAGTTCCAACTATTCTGACTTAATTCTGTCTCAGTCCCTGTGTGATCGGCACGAGTTCGATCCCAACTTGATCGAATAGGCCCAATCCACGAGGTGCCACTCGCTTCATGGTTCTCAGCGCTCATGTATCATACCTTAGCATGGCTAAGTAATTTCTCAGCAACAAGACCCTCGGCTCGTGTGCTCCCTACTTTGGCACAAGTAGTTTCAGGAAGTCAACGCCTTGGTCAGGACCCTCGGCCTGGACGATGACCCCTTCTCAGAATAAAGGATACTCCCAAAATATTTTCTTTCTAAAACTTCTTCTTGTGACTTTTCAAGTCTAAATCTTTTATACATACTCATACTGGTATCCTTAAATGTAAGGCATGACATAAGAATGAAATAAACATTCAAAAGTATTTATAAAGGTTCTTGATCCTTCATGAATTTTCAACATGAAAATGGCATATATGAGTAACATAAAAATCTGAAATTTATGCACATATATCCAAATAATCATCTAAACTTTAGCTAGAAAATAATTGTAAGCTAATAGGTACTTACTACTCCAATTAAGTACAAAGAATAGCATAAAAATCTGAAATTTATGCACATATATCCAAATAATCACCTAGACTTTAGCTAGAAAATAATTCTAAGCTAATAGGTACTTACTACTCCAATTAAGTATATATTAACTCTTTTATGCAATTCATCAAACACCTTGTGTGCGTGCTTTTGTGAGTTAAACCACTTTAGTAAAGGGTTATTCAACTCATCTCTAAACTCCTTGAGCCAATACGTAGACCCCAGTCCAATTTATACCCGTCAAACAATTGATTCTACAACAACCAGTGCATTTTAATTAATTTTAAAGTACTACACCTAAATATGAAATTTATTGTTGATATAGAGGAAGAAGGGAATTAACTATTCAAATTCTTACCTGCTACTACTTTAGGATAATTGACAATAGGAAATTTTTATATACCTGGGTTCAAGAATTAGTGCTTTGTAAAGAACCCTAGGATTTTCGTTGTCTGCGTAAATCGTCTTGCTGCCTCTGTTTCTCGTTCTGTTCCTTTTTCTTTGTATGAGGCTTGCGTGAGTTTAAGCTTCTGTTTTGTTAGACTTTTGAGACTTCAGACTTGTATTTTGATTAAGGCTTTCAAGCCTTTTGCCCTAAAGAATACGTTTCCAACCATTTTATGGGCCCCTCTCTCCTTTTTTTCTTTCCTTTTTTTTTTGCTTTATTGCTTTTCCCCTTTTTTTGTTTTGTTTTAACTTAACTAATATTTAATGATACCCACTTTTAATAATTAATAATATTAAAATTATTAATATTCCCATAATTATATATCCAACTATTTATAAATAGGGACGTAACTCAAAATCAATCACAAGGATTTTTAATTTGTAATAAAAGTATAATTTAAGATTTATAAAAAATTAAATTCTATATTAAGCGGGTCTTGAAACTTCTATAGATTTGAGGAGTGTTACAATCTTCCCTCCTTAAAAGCATTCGTCCTCGAATGTTGCTAAAGCTTTATTCTTACGCTAACAATCATTTCTTAGGTCCTTGAGCCTCTTATGTTTTCTTAGCACTACTCGCTTTTCCAAGGGACTCCAAATTTTGGCTAACTCCCTAAATTTTCAAAAATTTCGGCAGAGTTTCCCTTGTAAATTGGACTGTTCGAAAAAATATCCCTGTCACAAATACCACAACTACGCCAACAACAACCAAATATACCATAAAAGGCCATTCATAGGCACCATACAGAGCTCATAAATTAATTACTCACACTCCGGCAAGGAGGTACCACAATAACTAACAAGAATCTAAAGCACAACACTTTAGCAAAAGTAAATCACTTTAATGAATTAAATATACTCCGGCATAAACTAAATCACTACAACAACTAAATATAATCTAGGAAGGACATAAACACTTGCTAACTTGTATTTAATAAATGAAATATAAATGTCAGGCCAAACCTAGGTTCACATACCTTGTTACTCAAATAAATAAGGATAGTTCTTCCTCATATCTTCCTCGACCTCCCACGTAGCTTCTTTTGAATCATGATTACTCCACAAAACTTTTACCGATGCTATATCTTTTGTTCTCAACTTTCTTACTTGCCTATCAAGAATTTCTATAGGTACCTCTTCATAAGTCAAGCCTTCTTTAATTTCTATGGTATCAGCAGTTATTACATGCGACTCATCATGAATGTACTTTCTAAGCATAGACACATGAAAGACAGGATGAACAGAGGACGACTCAACGGGTAGCGCTAGCTTATAAGCCACGTTTCCTTTCTTTTCTAGAATTTCATAAGGTCCGATAAATCTAGGGCTAAGTTTCCCTTTCTTACCAAACCTCATAACTCCTTTCATTGGTGAAACTTTCAAAAACACTTTATCACCAACCATGAACTCTAACTCACGATGCCTCTTGTCAGAATAAGACTTTTGACGACTCTGAGCCGCTTTAAGTCTTTCTCTAATTAGCTGAACTTTCTCCAAGGCCTCATAAACAAACTCTGGACCAATCAACGGCACCTCTGCTGGTTCAAACCAACCCACTGGAGACCTACATCTCCGCCCATACAACGCTTCATAAGGAGCCATACCAATGCTGGCCTGATAGCTGTTATTGTAAGCAAATTCTATAAGTGGCAAGTGATAATCCCAACTACCTCCAAAATCTATAACACATGCACGCAGCATATCTTCGAGAGTCTGAATGGTCCTTTCTGCCTGGCCATCGGTCTGTGGATGGAAAGCGGTGCTCAGATTGACCTTGGTACCTAATCTTTTCTGAAATGCTTGCCAAAAATGCGTTGTGAACTGAGGGCCTCTGTCAGATATGATTGAAACTGGAGTACCATGCAATCGGACTATTTCTTTGATGTACAACTGCACATACTGCTCTGCAGAATCTGTCGTCTTTACTGGTAGGAAATGTGCGGACTTTGTAAGTCGGTCTACAATAACCCAATTGAAT